CTGCGTTACACTTCCTTGCCTTTCCTCGAAATACAGTCCCTGCTGCAACTTATTGACGGATAGAATTATAGTTACAATGGGAATTTTAACCGTGATTTTTACTGACTTTCATGTAATCAAAGCTTCAGCCTTGAAGCTGCATTACAATAGTTTATTACTTTCACATACGGCCCTTATATACTGTAACTTACAGTCAGCATTGCCAAAAGCAGTAATTCATAAATGCAACATAATGTAAATGAATCACAAGAGCTGCAGCTCTAAACTGGAAATAATGTAATGTTCAAACAAAACTTTTGAAACTAAAACTGCAGGCACCACATCCAGTTTTACCTGCCAGTATTTACAGAATTCAGAAAAACAGAAAAAGACATAAAAGAACAAGTAAAAGCAAAATGCTGGTGTGTTTTTCGCAAACATACTATTGAAAGGAGAGAAAAAAAAAGGAGGAAGGTGTTTTGTACAGAGTTACAATACATCTATAAGAAATATTTAAATAAGGCACTAATTAAATCACACTCTTATATTGTCCCTTGATGATCATTTCAAGAATATTAATTATGTTATCCTTTTCCCTTTTGCAAAAGTAGCTATGTAGTATATAACTCAACCTGCTCTTTAAGATCAGTGAGAATATTTGATAAAAGTCTTGCAGCCTGAAGTTTCTAGCTACTTAAAATGTACATATATACACACACATATATAAACACACATAAATACATATATATAAAGCTTCAACTTTCTGGTAACAATGTGCAGTGCTCAAGATCAGTTTATTGACATTGCGTCATAACATACATGTGTATATACATATACATGCATAAAAAAGTCACACCTGAAGTTAGAGCAGAGGAATCTCCTCATCAAGCTGCTACATCAAGAAAGGTAGTTCTGGAAGGCTAAATTGCACACACACACACACACACAAAATGGATTCCACTATCCTATCAACATTTTCCAATCTTATAAATGACCCAGTTTCTTTTTCAGAGTTCAGCTGATATTTTTCTGTCTGCTTATCTCTAACTTTTCATCTGCTGATAACTGCTTTCTCCTCCCCTATCTATACTTAAGGAGTTCAGAACTTAAAAATACAAATGTTATCTGCTTCCAGAATCATCTTTTCACAGATGGGCCAATAAAGGTCTCTGCTGACGAGCAGCAGCTCATTACTCATTCTTGTTACACAAGTATGCATGTCCTTTGATGGAGATGAGAGAAACTGGGAATTTGACGCTTTCACAAACTCCTCAGAGTGCCTGTAAGAGGCACCCGTGTGCTTTAAGATAGCTGTACCTCACTGATGATCTCCATAACTGTGAAGCAAAAATACTTTACACATCTAAGAAGGAATAGGAGAGAGTGATGCATTTTACGTAGAAATCAGTAAAAGAACTCTCAGAATTAACTGCTTGATGTGGTTAGGGAAGTTTGCAGAACATAGCAACTATGCAGACTTTATACCATCTTCTCACAGGACCGAGCATCAGCCGTCTGAGCTTAGCAGAGCTGTGCACAAGGAAGCAATATTCTCCCTAATGCACAATAAAGTCTGAGGTACCAATTAGGCATAAGCATGAGCTGGGAGTGGAAGGGGGTATCTATCACGCACTGTATGAAAATACACACTTAATGGTTAGATGAAATAGGGTGGAGAGAAACTAAGCGAGTTCTGTATGTGAGAGAAAAATGTACGCTAGAGCCAACAAGAGAATATCCCTTGTTCTCAAAACTGCCCACGTCCCTGGGACACAAATGCTCATAAGATACACGATCTTACCTGATTGGGTATTCTTAAAGGTGGCCTTGGACCTCCAGGGTACCGAGGGGACATGAAAGGCTATAAAAAAAGAAACATTCCTGAATATTTCAAATTAGCCTGTAAAAGCTGTATTGAGTCACTGGGCATATGGCTTGTGTCATGCTCACATCTCAGGATTCCAGCTTACATATTTCCACAAAGTGCCAAGTGCATTATTTTGCAGTATTTAGCAGAACTAAATAAATTTAAAGATGCTTATTGAATGTAGCTATGAAGATACATTATTTAATTTTTTGCTGCAGCAGTTGTGAAAGCAGAATATAAACAAATTAATGTGTGATCTATGAAGAATAATAAACTATTCAGATAATAAAAATCACACATCTAATCCTTTCACTGGATTAACAGTAAAGAACTCTGGAATATGAAAGAAAATTGTTCTTGGAAGGGTCAAGAAGTAAATAACAGCATAATAATTAATGAATATTTCCCCTTCACTTTTTCATATTCATGTAGTAAAAGTACAAGATTTGACCTGTGAAAACAAACATTTCAAGTTTATGTCATAAATATCTATAACTTTGGTGGTTTATATGAGCTGTATTAACTGAATGTTGTATCCCTCTCACCCCTTCACACTCACGCTCCATGCTCAGTAAAATTCTTTCTCTCTCTCAAAGTCAAGCATCTCCTCAATTCCGTCATCCCATTCTGATCTCTATGATGCACTATTTGTGTTCGCCTATACTATGCCTATACTATACTAGTTCATTGTAGCGTAAAAACAAGGTCAGACCCTTATTTTAAGATCAGAAATAAACGAATCAGCAAATAAATTTTAAATTTTTACTTGTTCCACCTCCAAGAGTGACAACAATCTAGAGATCTAAAAAGCAGGGAGATTAGTGGCAAGTTTGAGATCCATAGGAAGAAAAGGCACAAACATCTGACTAGACAGATGATGAAGAGGATTATTTTGGCAAGCAAATGTACCTATAACTCCAGAAGAAAATGAGGAGCTAAAAGTATGCTTTGACTGTGAACACAGATTTAAAAAAAAAAAAAAAAGGACTTTTAAGGTTTTTATAAGAGTAGAAGGGAAAAAAAAAAAAACTCTTTCCTTCCATGAGGTTTCCTCTCAAACCTCCTACTAAAGCATCTTCTCTCCTGTGTTTACATTATAAGGCACTAAAACAGAAGCTCACTTCTGCTCATGACACTGCCCAAGGAGTCATAGGAGAAGTGAGAAATAGAAAGGATGTTCCCATGGAACTTCCCAAACACAATATCTTCTCAGAAACAAGCTATTGAACAAATCCAGTCTTTGGGGCCTCTTGGAAAAGAAATATTACTATTTCTTTTGTGAAATTTTTTTGGAAACCATGTGGCCTGCTAGAGCTAATGGCCACAGGAAGCTCATTAAAACTCCGTGGTTAACATTATCCTTTCAGGAATGAACGGCATATTTGGGCTGTCAATTGTATTTGTGTTTTAAGCTAAAATGCCAGTGATGATCATTATTAGTAAGACATGTAAGGGTTATTAGTAATAATTAGTAACACAGTTAGTTATAATCATTTTACTAATAATTAATAATCTTTCTTTTTGTGTGATCTGCAGAAAAAAATTAACTGCCATTTCTCAGAATCAGACAAAACTTTTAATAATAATCTGCCATAGAAACACATACTCTAAATAGACACTAGAAAGTAAGACTTTAAGTAAAACTTAAAATACAGAGGTTTTACAAATCAGAAATGTTAAGTGACATTTATGAAAAGACTGTGTAGGTAAACAGTTCATTTGAAATTATGTGTTAGAAAAGGAGGAGGTTTTTTTCATGTTGTCTATCCATAAGGGCATATCTATGAAGTTAAGATTCTATTATAAGAAAGAGCAAAAAAAAGAGAGTTGTGTATGTGGCAAAGGCTGTAAACAAAGATGCTCATGAAAAAGTAAAAGTAGGAGGAAAGTAGAAAATAGTTTCCTTAAAGGTCAGTCAACTGCATTGTATGGAGTGCAGCACACACTAGTGGATACTGTGTATTTGGTTTACTACATTCAGCAAACAAGACCTTACATTTATTTATACTTGTACCTCTAATAAAAATAGCAGGGTAATGTCTGTCAAGCCAAGCGCATTTTAACACAGTATCACATTACATAGTACTAGTAATACAATTACATAGTACTAGTAATACATTAGTGCATTATTGATGGAACATTTACTCTTTCAACCCTCTTTCAAGCAAGATGGAAATATTTTATCACCTTTAATCTAATTATGTCCCCCTTTCTCCCAATGAGTTCATCAATCTATTCATTTTATAACAATCCTAAAAGTGATCTTAACATACTTTTGAATAGCAACAAAAGTATATAAAAAATGCTTTTCATATCCAATACTGCAGAGAATAAAGGGGTGCAATGTTCTGAAACAGATTCCCTTTTCCATTACCCAGAGCAAGAGGTTGTTCAAACAAAAATCACAATTTTACTTTTCAAAATTTTCCCAATATCTAACAATTAGAATCCCTACGTTTTGAGTTTCAGCACTTGCTTTGGATATCTGAGTAGATCTGAATATAGGAATGTACCAAGTCTATTTAACAAAAAGTATACAGAGTAAGCGTAGAACTCTTTTCTGGCATGATCTCACAAGTTACCATTTATTTCTTTGAAGACATTGTTTCTTAAGCAAGTATTTAGGCAGTCTTTGAGAGCTAGCATATACATTCCTGTTTATTTCTGTACAAACAGTTTGTTAGTTCATTGCATGGAATAACTATGGGAGCCTTTAAATATTTATATATTTCCCTTAAATTTATCTGTGGAAATTTTTAGAACTTCTCCCATTCTTTAAGCAATTCAGTCTAAGAGTATTTGGCTCTTGGTGATCTATGGATATTAACACTTGACAGTCCTATAGAGTGGGCAAGAAAATACATTAACAACTGGGAATCACAGTTGATGTTTCTCAGAATATACAGAGCGAATATACATATTGTACCAATAAAGCATCCAACATAAGATAGGTAACATATATATACAAAAACATCACTGAAGTGCCATATAGCATTACATAAAAAGGCAAGAGAGCAATGGTAAAGGACAGTTCTAAAAGATATTTAGATGTTTGGAAGCAATATTTAGCGTTCAAGGTTACCACAAAACTTCTGTCATCAAAACAAAAACCTAAATATTTTAATTTTCATGTTACTTATTCAACTTCTCCCTTTTGACCATCAACATGGTATTTGTCCCCCTAACAATCCTCCCAAGACACCAAAGAAATTCTGTCAAATCATAGAATCATAGAACCATAGAATGCTTAAGGTTGGAAGGGACCTCTAGAGGTCATCTAGTCCAACCCCCCTGCACACGCAGGGTCACCTAGAGCACGTGGCACAGGACTGCGTCCAAGCGGGATAATTTAATGAAAATGTATTCAACACCAACAGCTTTTCAGCCAGTTAAGTGATTAAGACCAGCTTCTTCATCACATTCAAGCCTGACACACATGGGATATAGGGAAGCCTTGGACATTCCAAGAAGGCAGGACTCAACACACACAGTATTTCACCACTTCACTGACAGCCCACGTTCAGACCCTTGTCTAATTTTACATTAGTGCTACAGAATAGCAGGAAGAAGCACAGCTTATGGAAGACCTACGGTGCTGGCAGTCAGCAGTGCCCTCTTCCCTTGAGTTCTTGCAAACTTTGTCTTCCCTTAAAGATATTGCAACAAATATATCACGAGAAGTAATAGGTTCAAAACAGGAGTAGTAACAGGTTTGAAACAGGAGTAGTAAATTGAAAACAGTGACCATAGACTTTAAATCACTCTATGTAGCTCTTGTCTTTTGAAGACAAAAAAAATAAATTCTTTGTATCAGAGTCAGGCATCTCTGCTAACTCAGGTTTGTGTCAATTCAGAATTCAGCACCTTGATAGTCTAAAACCTTTAAGGGATGCCCACACTAAATTCACAGCAAGACAGCCTTTTTATTTGTCCCGGGGTTCAGTAAGGGGACTGGTTAGGTGCCACATCAATGAATCAAACACTTCCCTGTTTACCCTCTCTGGAAAGTAGTGAGAGAGCCTATCTGCAATGCATAGATTAAAAGAGAATTTTCTCAATATATACTGACAGAAGGGATTACAAATATGTAACTGATCCAAAAAATAATAAAAGTAGAAAGAAAAAATGAAATAGAAAAATATGCCAAAGATAAGTACAATGATTCAATAATACAGCAATAGATTTACTTTTCAGGTCTGAAGGCAACAGCGGGGCAAAGGACCTATCTCCCTGGAACTTCCTTTATGTATTAGGGTATCGGTTTCAGTCAACATATATCTGCCATTTCACAGCCAGATCTTGCTTAGGGAGATCTTGTCTAAGGGAAATCTTGAGCATACAAACTCTCAATATATCAATAATATCTGACTGAGAAGAGAGATATCAGCAGAGTGGCTCCATTCCCCAGTAATTTCCAGATGCTGTAACAGCCCTCAAGGGTTTTTTGTTACATCCGCTGCCTTCCATAACTCCTGGGGAAGGGGAGGCCCAGGCAATGATTTTGTGCCCTACCGTAAGATAGGGCACAAAATACTCCTCAAATGCAATTCAGGAACTGCCACACAACTCCACTACATTATTAAGAAAAGCAAACCAAAACAAGTCAAAAACAAAACAAAACCAAGTAAGAAAACAAAGAAAACGAAAGATGTATTTATGCCCCATCTAAGGCACAGTTGAAAACACATCTCTAGGTGGAGATGCCACCAACATTTAAAAATATGTGAGTCACAGAAGTTGCAGCAACACCAGAAGTGTTTTTGGAAACAGCTTGCTAAAGACATCTGCAAACTCTAGTATATTGTAATTACTGCTGTTAGGTAGAAAATTTAATAATCTGGTTTCACAAATAGTATCTTGAAAGCTGTTGTTGTGCAGCTGACATCAAAGGAATATAACTGGTTTCTGTTAAACTGAGAGAAAAAGAAGTGGGATAGGACAAAACTCTTGTACAATTACCACAGAAAATATATATATTCATCATTTTACAGCAA